GAAGTTTCAGTCAAAGATCGGCCGGAACGAACGAAGAGGTTCGGAGAGAATAGCCATAAACAACCGAAAAAGAGTTTCAAGATATGATCCAAGAGAATGGGCTACGAGTTTGAGAGAAATAAGTTTTGTATATGAGTTCTTAGCCAACAAGATCTGAGAATAACATAAATTTATAGAGTTTTACATGTCTTTTGTGTTTGATACTAGGTTCCACATCCTGGGGTTGGTTCAGGTGTGGATTCTCGGATCTGGATTGGTACGATGGAGTACTTTTTTCTACTTTATTTGTCTTTTTATGCCACATGCCCGACGATATGGTTCTGCTATGGTGCATCTGGTTCCTCGTATTGTTGTTCGTGCTTGACACGTTGGATCACGCGCCGGGATGCTCCCTTGGAATCAGTTTTGTTAAGTTTTAATTGTTTTACAAGGTATGGACCACCTTCTTTTACTTGAACATCAAGTGTTGTACATTACCTTATCTTGGCGTTTCCATAGTGCAAATTTGGATTTGGTTGATATACTCACTATATGAGAAAATTTGGAGGCTCCATGTGGAAAATTGGTTGGTGTGAGTGTGATAATGCTTGACATGTTGAGCGAAATCAATGTGCTCTTGGTCAGGGAACTGCTGCTTTCATTGACTTCTTGGGTTATATACAAATAATACGTATAATGTTCTCATTCTCCAAGTATTTCTTAGCTAGAATAGTTGAGAAGTTTTTTTCTTTTTTCTCAAGTTGCTCTTATTTTCGATATCATTGGTCACTAACACATTTCGATGTTAACCCGCAAAGTTCCATGTAAGAAATACTCTTTATATTTGGTTCATGTACTTTTCCGGGTTTAAATGTCAAGGTCCTATGGCAAATGTCCAGTGAAACTTTATCAAAAACTCAATACATTAATAAAGAAAAAACGTCACATATGTCATTTAGCCAAACAAAACGAGCAATCAACTTTTTTTTTTTTGGGACAAACTTTATAACTTCATTAACTTAAAATTTGGAGATACATAGGAGAAGAGGGGATATCATCCTCTTTAATTGCTACAATAAAACAAACTACAATCAAGGAAACAGAAAATGTGACATAATAAAACCAAATCCCTTTAATACCAAATCTAAAACCAAATTGCC